GAGATAAGTGACATCGCCACCTTCACTTTGTTTTTCTGTCTGTGAAATGGAGCCAATAGAACTATAAGTCAGCTACTAATACATTATTAGTCAACTAATGCACGTACAGTACCTATCAGCGGCCCACCTTTAATCATTTATTTCACACGTATCTATTGAGCACTTTCCTTGTGCTGGGCACTGAGCTAGGCATGAGGAATATACTGTGATGGCAAACAAGGCAGACCTGCCCCTGCCCTCCTGGAGGGAAGATAGACCTGAATATCAGATGTAGCCTCAAACCCAAAAACTCAGGAATGCAGGAGAGGTAACTTTCCTTCTTGTTCTATAACTGAACTCAGTTTCCTTTTTGCGGCCCCATTCTGCCAGAGGCCAGACACTGACTTTCAGTCATTTTGGAGTCCCCTGTTCTCCGGGTTGCAGTGACTTCAGTGAGGAGTTCTGATGCTCTTGAGGGTTGTTATCACTGCCCATCCACATGGCTTTCTCTTGTCCCCTGCTGCATCCCTATAACTCTCTGGGCCTTGGTCACTGTGCAGTCCATATAGGTCACACCATGTTGGACCCTGGTTTCTGACTGCAAGCCGCTTTGCATTTATTTGCTGGCTCTCTGCTATGTCTGCTCCCCCACCCCCATGTCTCAGAACACCCTACCCTCCATTATTACTTCCCTCCAAGTCACTTCCATGCTGCCCCTGGGGGAGCTCTCCAACGCCCACATCTGATCCTGTACTTTCCTGGCTTAAAACCTTCCAACGGCTCTCCAGGGGCCTTTGTATTCTTCATTTAGACCCTGTTCACCTCTAGCAAATCCCTGTTTACTCTCCAGCTCATTTCTCAACACTGCTCTCATCCCCCACACCTACGGCCAAACCAAATAAGACCATGATTAAAATGCATGTCCTTCTTAATATGTGCCAGACACTTTACTTATATTGTTGTTGTTAGGTGCCATCAAGTTGATTCCGACTCATAGCGACCCTATAGGACAGAGCAGAATTGCCCTATAGGGTTTCCAAGGAGCAGCTGGTAGATTTGAACCGCCAACCTTTTATTAGCTTGTTTAAATCCTTACAATAACCCACAAGGTAATTATTATTTCTCGCCTCCTTTTAACTGATGAGAAAACTGAGAACCGAGGAAATGAGAGGTTCAGGTCACACAGCTAGTGAATGGCAGAGCGAGGAGTCAAACCCAGGGCTATGGATTGAAATGTGTCCCCCAAAAATGTTTGTCTACTTGGCTAGACCATGATTCCCAGTATTGTGTGATTGTCCACCATTTTGTCATCTGATGTGATTTTCCTATGAGTTGTAAATCCTACCTCTGTGATGTTAATGAGGCAGGACTAGAGGCAGTTATGTTACTGAGGTAGGACTCAATCTGCAAGACTAGGTTGTGTCTTAAGTCAATCTCTTTTGAGATATAAAAGAGAGAAGCGAGCAGAGAGACGGGGACGGCATACCACCAAAAAACAAAAGCCAGGAGTATTGTGCATCCTTTGGACCTGGGGTCCCTGTGCAGAGAATCTCCTAATCCAGGGGAAGATTGATGACAAGGACCTTCCCTCAGAGCCCACAGAGAGAGAAAGCCTTCCCCTGGAGCTGGCACCCTGAATTTGGACTTCTAGCCTCCTAGACTGTGAGAGCATAAATTTCTCTTTGTTAAAGCCATCCACTTGTGATATTTCTGTTATGGCAGCACTAGATAACTAAGACACACAAATAGTCCAGTTTCAGAGCGTGTACTTTCAGCCACTATGCTATGCTCTCTGGAATAAAAGAGCTTTCTGTTACCGAATAGGCTTCTTTCTCACCTCCAAACCTTTGTGTATTTCCCTGCCTGGAACTCTTTCTCCCTGGCACCCCTTTCATCTGGCTCACTCTACTCATCTTTTGAATCTCTGGCCTCCAGGACCCTTTCCTGACTCCCAGGCTGGATAGGAGCCCCCTCTGAGTTCTCACAGCTCCTGTGCTTTCCACAGCAGAGCTTTGGCCGGTTGGTGCAGTGGGGAGTTGATTTCTTACCATGTGCACCTCTGAAGCAGGAAGGTCTTATTCATTTTATTCATCTTGGAATGCCCAGCAATTGGCCTAGCCCGCCGACAGTGACAATGAATGTTTGTGGAAGAGTGATTATCAGTTCAACTAACCTTACATTTGTCAAGGTTGAATGAATTCCTGGGACCAATCCATTGATGGCCATTTATTAAGTACCTGCTGTGTGCCCAGCCCTGAACCAAACACTCTGAGAGAAATAACAACAATGAGTGTAAGGTCCAATTGTGATTTGCCTGGTGAGATTCACCTGTCCAGGCCAAGGTCAACACAGGGCAGTGAGCTCTGCTACCCAGTTTTAATTTCAAATTCCCTACCACTTTTTCTTTTCCTCCAGCCTCTCTAGCCTTCAGCCTTCCTGTCATTCTGCTTTCTTCCACCTTCCTGATTAAATCAGCTCAGAGGAAAGGACCTGGCAAACTTGTTTACTGAAGGGACAGTAACTGATCTCAGTGGTTGATCATGTCTCCCAGCAAGAGGGAGATTATTCTCCACATTGACGGATGGGGATTCTTCTATTCTTGGGGAGAGGAATAGAATAGATGGAGTGGGGAGTTATACACCTCCTAGGAAACTGTTTAGTTCTTCCCCTAACTGTAAAGATGAGAGTAGGCCCAGAGGCTTTCTAAATGTCACCCAATAACTGAGCCAAAACTAACCAGGTTCTCTGACTGTTGGTTTGTTGTTTTCCCCAAATGAGTATCCTTGTCCCCAAATCCCATAGTTAGTAAAATTCACAGATCAGGACTCCTAGTTAGTTCTAAAATCAGTCCTGTTTTTCACTACCCTCATTGCTTTTAACCTCTGATCTAAGAGAATTTATTAATGCACATCACAATTTTCAGGTGTCATACCAGGCAGTTAAAATACAGGCAATCTAATCCACTCACACAGCAGACTTCAAGATTAGGTATTATTATTCCTTCCTGCATTAATATGAGAAAACTGGTCAGAGACGGTTAGTAACTTTTTAGCTAATAACTAGTCAGTATTCGAACATAAGCTCACACTCTTTCTGTTTCCTTGGTCCATGCAATGCTTTTGGTCCATGGCCAAGGGTGGCATTTCCTGTCTACTGTTACTTTCTCCTCTCCTCATACTCCTCTCTGCTTACCTTCATCCCACGCCCACTCCCAAAGTGGAAAGTCTCTTCTCAATTTCCTAATCAGTGGGAATGATTCCTGTTGAAATGTTAACTTCAAGCCAAGAGATAGGGCTAAAACTCACTCTGGGAGAGGGGGCTCTGGGCATCAGCAGCCTCTGGTCTGGCTTTGTTTTCTCTCATTCTTTTATTAGCTGCCTAATTGGCAGTCCAGTTAATCTGCTCATCTGTGAAGGAGGATGGATCACAACGAGCTGCTCCATTTCCAGAACCAGAAGCCATTCTCTGAGGCAGCACGGCCAGGCCCTGAGCTCAGGCTGGCTCCTTGATGGAGGGCCGCCCCGGGAGCCGAGGTCAATTAGTGGACAGATTAAGCAATTATTAGCCCCTAACAAGGGCACCTGGCATCATTACCCTACCTATGTACTGGCCAACGGCAGCTTTAATATGAAGATCAACAAATAAATTAGGGCATCTGGTCCACTGCCGTGTCTGCCGAGAAGTAAATGATGTCCAACTGGCTTTCGGTTGCTGATGGATCCTCAGCCCTGACCTAATGAAAAGTCTGAGATGTCCCTCACTGGTCACGGTAACTTTGGAGCATGCTATGGAGAGATTTATCATTCCAAGAGCTAAGTGCCTGCCGCTGGGCACATGGATTGTTCTTGGTTACCCTGCTGCCTTCCTCCTATCTGCCTGTCAAAACGTACCAATCTTCCATGGCCCTGCTCAAGAGCTTCCTTATCCTTGCAGCCTTTCCTAATTTCTCTGGCCAGAAAAGGATCTATCCCCCTTCTGCAATTTGGGAGCAGTTTGCACTTTCCTATCACTTTCTGGCATTATAATCAATTCATAGAACTTCAGAGTGCCATTTTGCTCAATTTTTCAGGTCTCTGATGAAGAATGAGAAGCATGGAGAAGGGATAGGCAGGCAAGGGCTCAAAGTTGTTTGTTCTCCCACCCTCTGTCCTATAGAGAGACACCAAGAGGACATCAGGGAGGAAGTTACAGGGTCAGGTTTGCACTTTAGAAAGATCCTCTGGCTCTGGTGGCAAGGGCACATTTGAGAGGTGGTCACTGTCATCCAGGCCAGATGTGATGGTGCCTAGATTAGAAGAAAGGCAGAGGGAGGGAGCCGAGGGGAAGATTTGCTAAATTCACAGAAGGAGGGATCAACGGGACTTGGGGACTGTCTGGCAGTGGGAGGAGAGTCAGGGAGAATTCAACTTTTCTAATTTTGGTGACTGGGAGGTGGGGTAGTGTTGATGCCAGTGAGACGCATGGAGGACAGGAGGCCCCCGAGTCTGGGAACAGAGGATTCTCAAAGCAAGAAAGGAGCAGAGTTGAGGGATATTAAAGAAATCTTCTCCTGAAGTGAGTTTGGCCAACTCCCTTCTCTGCTTCTTGGTATACCCATCTGCATCGTGAGGATTTAGATCTCTAAGGCCTCTGACTCTGTAATCATCAGATCCAATGTCAGTGTTTAGCCAGAAGTGCATCCATTAGAGAGCATTTCTAAATGTATTGTTCAGCATCATCCTGCCTCTCCTGCCTCTGTCTGTCAAACCCTGGAGGTCCTTCCAAGGCACAGCTCAAATGACATCTTTGCTTGGACACCCTCACTGTTCTCTCAAGCAGGAAATTTTCTCTCCCCCTTTCATGTGAGCTTCAATATTATATCGTGAACTGTCCGTCTCTTGGAAACAGAGCTGTAATTTGTAAAATATCTCCTATTGAGAGATATGACCCATTGAGCTCATACTGTGTGCCAAACTGAGAACAATGTGTTCCCTCCTTCTTAAAACACTTTGAGATTAACATAGATGCTTCTCTTTCCCTAGGGATCATTGACTTCCTTGTAAGCCAGCACCCAGTTGCTCGTGTCCTACGGGAACACCTGGTCTTCAAGATTGCACCAATGCTCAACCCTGATGGAGTCTACCTGGGCAATTACAGGTGAGGGACTGGGGAGAATGCTTGGAAGCTGGCAGTCATAAGATAGTGATATGGAAGCAAGAAGAAATAGAGGTATATTTATCAGGAAGAATTTTCAGACTACCCTTGACTTCATTACAGGAATTTAGCTTGACTTTTGTGGATTTGGCTGGTGAGCCTTGGCTGTTTTGTACACAGTCACCTGAGGTGTACACACTTGCTGGGGTCTTCTGAACAGCTCACTGATCAGGAATCAGGAGACCTAGTATCAGTTTGGGCACCTGCTTCCTGTATAACTTGGATAATTCACTTTCCTTCTCTGATGCTCAGTTTCCCGTGCATAAACAATAGAGTAATTACTTACCTGGCAGGGCATTTGTGAGCGTCAAAGATATGGTGGGGATGAATGTGCTTTGCAGAATATCATATGGTGGTTATAACAGTTACTGTTTTGTTTCTGTGTTTCTTCTTGGATGTTATTGATGAAGGAGAATCATCTAAACAGCATTTCTCTTTGGTGTGGGCATCCCAGCTAGCCTCACACTCACTCATGCATTCGTATCTTGAACTCTCTTCTTTTGGTTTAGTGCCATGAGTTATAGCCTAAAATTCCACTGCCCTGTGGGTCATCAAAGGAACATTGAATCATCTCTGAAAGATAGTGTTATTACCCTTGTTTCACAGTTGAGGCAACTAACTTGCAAAAAGTCACACAGCCAGTAAATGGTGAACTGCCTGACTCTACCACCCAAATTAAATAGCTATAGAGCTGACTAGGTGCACAACTTTCCAGATGATCTTCAAACTCTTCAGCTTGGCATGTAAGGCTCTTTATGATCTGGTGCCTGGTGTCCATTGTTCTGCCTTCCTTTCCACCCTCTTGCCTCACCTCCCACCTTCCCCTCTGAGAGCTCTTGCTCTAGTCACTCTGTGCAAAGCCTAGTTCTCCCAGACATGTCCTGCTGGTTCATGTTGCCTCACACCTTCATGCATACTGCCCTCTGTCCAGAAGAACCTCCTCATCCCTTCTTCATCTCACTAACTCATCTTCAAAACTCAGGCCATGTACCTTTTTCTGAAAAACGTTTCCCAAGCCCCAAAACAGAATTGACCATTCCCTTCTCTAAGCTCCCACAGGCCTGGTTATTGAACAAGTCTTATCCCATTGCATTGATCCCATGGACCTCAAGCCACCAGAGGGCAAGGACTGAGTCTTCATGATCTTTGTGTTCCCAGTGCCTAGCAGCAGGGATCAGAAAACATAGTAGATGCTTAAAAAGTGTTTGATGAATATGAGTGAATGAAAAGGATGACTTTACTGAAGAAGAAACAGAAGCCCAGAGATAAGATGGAACTTGTCCAAGGTCAGTGGCCTGTCTCAAACCAGAACCCAGATATCCTGACTCCCAATCAGGCCCATTTTACATAGAGTTGGTTTACTACTTTCGAAGAACACAGCAGGCAATTGAGTCTGGAGGGGCTTCCTTGTACCCCAGCGTATGAGTTAGAGAGAGCTCACAGGATGAATGAAGCCTTAATTAAAGACAGCTTTGCTTCCTCTCTTAATTGGCAGAAGTGATGATTTATTAACATTTGCAGGTTTTATGGCTTCTGCAGGCAGAGAGCAATGCCTTTCCACCTTTCCTGGACAGAATGCACCCTTAGTGATAATGTTGGTGGAAAGACTATTTGATTTATGTTAACATTTCTGTTTAATTACAAGAGCTGCAGTGGTCAGACAGAGGTCAATACTGCCCACTCACACACTTATTTATGTCATCATCTGCTGTCCAGAGGAGGATGAGGTGGAAGACGCTCTGTGACCTTGGCCAAAATGCATCCCCTCTCTGGATCTCAGGTGGCCAACAGGGAGGGGATGAAGGAATAGATGCTTTCTACATGTCATCAAGCTCCAGATTTTGTGATTTGGGGAACTTCAATTTAAAATATTTCCAGCCCACAGAAAGTTTTTCATACTGAAGTTTCAACCCTGACATTCTTCTAGTAAGAAGATGTGATTCTCATTATGAAAGTTGGAAAAAAGCTATAACCACAGGCATCAATCCTGTTGCTGAAACAGCCCTGACTAGCAACAAAGAGCCTATCAATAATGAAATTCACTACTAAAGCTCTGGTCTTTGGATAATATGAAAAAAATAATAAAGATTCAGAATTGAGAGTTTCAAGATGCCTTAGAGGTCTTCTAGGCCAGGCCCTCTCGGAGCCATACTACTCTTCACAGCAGTATTCCCTGTGGATTGGTGGAATTTACCAAGGTATTGCAGGGGAAAAAGAGTTTGGAGGTCAAATAAGTTTGGAAAACACAGAGTTATGCAAAGTTAAACATGTTCTTTTACAATAGAATTTCTCAGAGTTTTGCCTATGCTAATAAAAAATATGACAGTCTGCTTCCATAAGGATTTACAACCTTGGACACCCCACGAAGCAGTTCTACTCTGTCCTACAGGGTCTCTATGAGTCAGCATCAACTTGACAGCAGTGAGTTTGTTTTTTGTTTTTAATAAACATAGGGACTCTCAAGAAGGGAATATAGTATACAGTGTTTCCCCAAAGGTATGTGTCATGGAACCATTTTCCTATAAAGGTTTTTGTTTTGTTTGTTTGTTTAGTTGTATTAAACCAAAAAATGAAACCTGTTGCTGTCGAGTCAATTCCGACTCATAGCGACCCTATAGGACAAAGTAGAACTGCCCCATGTGGTTTCTAAGGAGCAGCTGGTGGATTCGAACTGCCAACCTTTTGGTAAGCAGCCAGGCTCTTAACCACTGCACTACCAGGGCTCCTTAGTGGTATTAGGGTTTACAAAATGCATTTTGGGATAATCTGAAAAAGGATAGTAAGAATGGTTGAATGAAAAAGGGAATAATGTAATCAAAATCACTGAACTGTACATGTAGAAATTGTTGAATTGGTGTACGTTTTGCTGTGTGTATTTTCACCTATATATATATCTTAATGCATTTTGGGAAATGCTGCTCTCAGAATTTTGGTTGCTGACCCAGTGCTATGTCAAGCCCTCACACACTTATTTAATCCTCACAACAATTCTGTTACGGAGGGTCTTTGTTAAGTTTTTTTTTACTTGTAAATAATAAAATTCTACTCAAACTAGCTTAAAAAAAAAAAGAGGAAAGGAAGGAGGGAATGTGAGAGGGAGGAGAGAAGGAAGAAAAGAAGGAGTAAGGGAGGGAGGGAAGGAGGGAAGAAAATATATCTTAGAATTCTAGTTTAGTAAATAAATCCAGACCTCACAGGAATGGGATCAAAGAGCTGGAAAACAATGGGAGGCCAGGAGGCCTGGAGGCCTCTCTCTCAGGCTCTCTTGCTTTTACTTTCTCTTAACATCTCCCTCAGGGTGCGTGGTCTCTCAAGCTTCAAAGACATTAAATAATCTACCTTAGGTCATGTGCCTGGGAGGAGCAGGTGGAGATGCAGGTCTGATAAGCCCAAGCCCAGCTCGCCCCTCAGTCCTACACCGCCTCTATGGCCTGGCCCGCACAAGAGGTGGGCCTGTGCTCAAGGCACTTTTACTTGATTGGAGAGACAGTTTAACAGGCCAGTTCCCTACAGTGTGAGAAGTGAAGGCAGAGCCTTTGGGAGGGAATGAAAGTCAGTTGTTGAGGACATGGACTTGAGTGTCGGTCAGGCCAGATTTCAGGTTCTGATTCTTCCGCCTACTTGCTGTATGACCTGGGGTAAATTATGTGGCCTCTCTAAGCTCCATTTTTCTCATCTGTAAATGGGAATATGAATGGAGTTATGAGGATTTGGTTAGATAATATGTTTATAAAACTGCGCTAGGTACATTGTAAGTTCTAAATAAAAATTTACTTCTCTTATTATTATTACACATTAAAGATGCATGTAATCCAGTCTAGGAAGGGTAATCAGAGAGAGTTCCCATATTTGATCATGCTAAGCTTATATTTAATAATATAAGTACCTATACTACAGTATTTATAGTAAAATAGAAGAGATACACTCTAGCATATGATAGCAATAGATGGCAGCTATACCATGATAATGCTCTTTAGTGTAAAGAATAGCAACATTTACTAACTAGACTACTGTATATGGTACTAGACTGTGGTTTATGCTAGCAGTATACAGGACCTATAGTAAAGTTTATAACAACAATATGTAGAACTATAATATACTCTATAGTAGTTATCTATAACAGTTATATTAGATGATATAACAATAGATAATTATATTATGGTGTATACTAAAAACACAGGGTAACTATGCATTCTTTCTTGCTTACTACACTCTGATTACACTGGCCTTTTCTTCGATTCTGGTCTTAGGTTTAATGTTGCTTCACAGAGAAGCCTTACCAGAGGCTCCAATATAAATGTATTTCCCATTACACTCTTTCATAGCACTCTGTACTATCCTTTCATAGCCCTTGCCCCAATTTGTAATCATGCATTTATTTATGTGACTATTTGTTTAAGGACTTTCTCTACCTCTAGACTGTAAACTCCATGAAGTCAGGACTTTGTCTACCTTGTTGTCTATGTCCCCGAAGCCTGGCACCGTGCCTGGCACAGAGTAGGCCCTTGATATATATTTTCTGAATAAATAAATGAACTAAACAACAGCATTTAGTAATTGTGCTATGATACAAAGCTACCATCCCCAGTGTATTGTAACTATCACCAGATGCTGTCATCTCCCAGTCCTTTGCCTTTACCTACACGGCTTCCTAACCCCAATTGTTTTGGTCCTATAAAATTTGGTCTTAACAGGAATACCAACAGGCAAATTCTGATGAGCTGCTGTTAGGATTTTAGCAAACTCTGGATTCACAGCCACACTTTGCTATTGCCCAAGATATTATACTTTTAGAGGCACTTAAAAATCACAATTGAACATTCTCAACATCCTTTGAGAAAAGAAGGCCAATTATTATTAATTCCATTTCAGCAAAGAGGAAACTGAGGTCGAGAAGGTGAAGAGCTATGTTCAAGGCCACAGGGTGTATCCAGGGACTCTTC